GATGTCTTCCTTTCCTTGAACGACCTTTAAACCGAGAAAGTACTTCGTAAGACCTAGATCAGTCATCTCGAACTCCTTATTCATCACCTCTTTGAATTCTTCAACCTACTCGACTTTACTTCCCTTGAAGATTAGATCACCAAAATACAGGGAAACAATCATTATATCCCCTCTATTCTTTTTTATATAAAGAGCATGTTCATGCCCACTTCTCTTAAAATAAGTATCAATTTTTCCATTTTGTGCTAGGGGGCTTGTCGTAAAGTGCCTCCATTAATCTTAGCGCTTTCTTTTCTTCTTCTCTTTACATGTAGCCGAGTGGTTGTTCAATATATACTTCTTCATCGAGGACTCCATTGAGAAATGTTGACTTCCTATCATCTACAGTATCGTCCGTTTGTGTTGGGCTGCTAAGGAGATCAACAACTAAATTGTTTACATCCTCATTTTTGCTTGTATCCATTCACTACGAGTTGAGCTTTATATCACTCAAAATACAAATTGCCAAAGCGAAAATGTCACATCATGGTCTCATTCTTTATGTCGAGCTTTAAGCACCTCTTTTGGAACATCTTCAACTCGAGCTTGTACATCTTATTCTTCTTCATTTCTACTCGGGCAATCAAGCGGCAAACTTATCTTTCAAATCTAGTACTCAGTCTTTAATGAGAACCGAGTTGACTTTTTCCATCAGTTGTCTCATGCTCAACATATTTCTCTTGAGATTGGGTACTCAATACACGCCTCTGATTTCTCCAACTCGATCATTCTTTTGCAAGTTCCAGATTGGGCCTTAGCCTTTTACCGTTACCTTGGATTCATCTCCAAATGATATGTGTCCAACCTCAACTTTGGAGAGCCATTTGAACAAGTTATCATCTCTGCACATATGATTACTCGCTCCTGTATCAAGATACCAAATCGAATTGTGAGAACAATTTTGACTTAAATCGACACCCGAGCTCCTCGACATCATCAATATTTCCTTTTCTTCACTAGCTTCCTTAGAAAGGATGTTTGTCTCATTCTTTCTCTTAGGCTGACAATACTTTACCAAATGATCGACCTTCCCATGATTATAGCATTTGACTCCTGAATTATAATCCTTGAAAAAATGATTGTACTTTCCATATATTGTATTGTTTTTACATTGAATTGATACATGAAATCCAACCCTGATGAAATCAATACTTTTCATTATTTAAAAAAGTTATTAGCCTTAATCAGTGAATAATTACAACTTCTCTTACAAAAATGATATTTAGACATTTCACTTTATTACTTGTGTGATTTGACATATTTGTCAAAATCCTTAGTAATTAATATGTGAGGCTAGTAGCTTTGATGTCGGATAAGGTCTTGAAGACTAATCAGTATTTGTCTAATTAAAAGTGTTTCTAGATTTTTGAGATGAACGTATATTTAGGCAAAACTCCATCTTTTAACAAACTTTATACTGTATTTAGTTTGTAATAATCTTGAATAACACACTTGAATCATATATGTATTTTAGATCACATATGTATTTTAGAAGTTAAAATTTTAAAGATGTTACATCTCATAATTTGTTTCAACAATATTTTTTACATATGTACAAATGTAAGGGTGTTAAAGTATTGCATTGGGTAGCATTTGGATAAAATTATCATTCAATCCATAAAAACAATATTGGAGTGGTCGAGTTTATCTATTGGTTTATATTAAATTCAATTCACACAGGAAGTGATAGACATTATATTGGGAGGTGTGGTGGAAGGAGGAAGGGATTGATTATGAGAAAGAAAACGAGATCATCTTGGAATGGAGAGGAAAAAGAAAACGAAAAAGATATCTACACATTCATTCATGTAACATAACTAATATCCAATTTGACACGTTAGTAAAATTTTAATACTGTTTAATTAGGAAAGCTACATCTTTTATCAATAAAGTTTAGAAATAAAATTAATTTAAAATTTAAGAGAAAAATAAAATTCAGCACAGTAGTGGAAGACTAAAAATATATTTAAGAAGACATTTTATGACAATCTTTTTTCTTCGTCACTTTTTTTTTCATTTGGTCTTCATTTCGTTGGTAGGCCTCTGGTTGTTCTGAACGGTCAGAATTGAATTTGCAAACACAAACTCAACTTGCCCTTCCAGCTTGATTCCAAAATGCAAGAACTGTGATTACAATACAGACACCAAACCTTGTTCCTTTCATTAATTGGACCACACCAAACTCGTTTAAGATTCATACCAGCCGTCAATAATGAATTCAAAAATCAAACTACAGATTATTTGCAGCGAGCAAAACATTGGTAATCAGCGTCATCATGTGCTAAACTTCACAAGTTTCGCCAATCTCATGTCGCCAAACAAACACAGCCAGGGAGGAGTGTCTGTCTTTCTCCTTCAGATTTTTAAGATTTTTCTTCTCAGACCTCAGTCGTTGAACTCGTGAGGGTTGTCGTTTATGCAGAGACTTCCAGGAATTAGCGGTTCACAGTCACCAGAAGCTAAAGGTTAAGCAGAATTATTGTTGTACTTGCTTTAATCATGCTGGAACAGACCACACTTGCAGGCTCCACCATATGCATCATGCAAGTTTTTTAAAAATATATCATCAACCATCATCGTATCTTTTACATTAACAAATTTCACATCTCTTTATATTTTTATAATTATAAAAAAATTACATTCTAACTAATTACAAAAAAAAAATTATGTTGATCCTATTCCTAAAGGTTAGTTAGTGTGAACTAGTTGTTGAGTTCTTTCTTTGCAACCCTCAGATTTAATTTGTACTGCAGTGGCTGTCATGTTGGAAGATCTACCGTTTCAAAAAAAGTGTTGACTGAGAAAAAAACGTGATTAGTGGACCACAATTTTAATTATTTAATTGAAATTTATTAAAAATTATTAGTTTTAGTTAATGCAATTTAAAATATACATATAATGTTAAATCCACTAAAATTATTAATTTTCAGAAAAAAAAATCGAAGTTATCGAAATAAGTTTTTACAAAAATTCTGTAACAAAATCTCAACACGTTATTTTGGTGTACTTTTTCCTTTCGTTTTCGTTTTATTTATTTATTTAATTTATCTCGTGATCAAAGAGATTTATGTTATGATTCCATAACCGGCAATCTCTCCTAAAATCCAAAATTTCATCTATTTATTTATTTGTTTGTTATTTTAGTTCATTTAACTTAGCTTTAAACCGAGAAGAAAAGAATATGATATATCTTTTTATTATACGTCAAATATATCTCTTACTTATCTATTGATAATAAAAGACTATGTCTCTATTATTGTGTTAACATGAATTTTTGTTTTAAGTCTAACGTAAATAATGAAAAATGGTTGACTATATATTTTATAAACAATATAAAATTATCTCATATATCATGAGAAAAATTTTGACTGTCTAAATGATTCAAAATATCAGAAAATAATATAAGAAAACTCAACTACCTAGTTGCATTAAATCTAAATAATTTATCTTTTAATTTCTCCAGTTTGGACTAGACCCAATTATTGGTCTCCGAGTTGTTTTTTATCAGTCAAAAGTCTTGGTTTTAAAATTAAATAAATTTTCTTTTTTCATCGATATTATTCTACCTACAACTTCTAAATACTGATCTTCTACTCAAAATCTTCACAAATCAGTTAACTAAATTATCTATCACTCATAATTTATCAATCAAATTTTTTATCATATATATATATATATATATATATATATAT